TTACAAGTCTATCCCCTTGTCAACTTAACACCCATACACATTTCCTTAAAGCATATTTACTTTCCAAATGAAGACAGTAAAAAGGTCATACTTCTCACTAACATACAACAATCTGGTGTACAAACAAAAATACACTACCCTCAATATAAAAAGGCTAACTTTCCTCACAAAAAGAGGAATTTTCCCAGAAGGCTACCTTCATACTCAAACTACAGCATCAACTTTTCCCTGGGTCTCCAGCCTACCAGACTACCTCATAGATTTTGGACTTGCCAAAAGACAGAACAAAGTCTTTGAGGGATATTTACTCTACTCCTTGATATGCCATAACTTAAATACTATTATGTAAAGAGAATAATGTTTAAATACTATGATATAAAATCAATATATCTTTGTTGCATGATAAGGGATAGGAGAGAGAAGAAACCAAAGATATTTGGGATACACGTAGAGAGACAAACATATTTATAACAAAATGAGGAAGAAATATTTATAACAATTGCAGTTCTCATTTTTGTAATTGGTCACTTGGACATAACTGGAATTTATAACTACTTTCTCTCACTATCCATTGCATATCCCCTTTGCCTTCAATGGAGCACCTCACCTAGCTGTGGTTCTTTCCCTGGCAGGGTGACCCAAACCTCTGGGAGGTTGAGGTGGGAGGATCGCTTGAGGTAAGGACTTGAGACCAGCCAGAGCAAAAGCCAGACCCTGTCTCTACAAAAATTAGTGAAGTTAGCAGGGCTTGGTGGTAAGTGCCTGTAGTCCCAGTTACTTGGGAAGCTGAGGCAGTAGGATTGCTGGAGCCCAGGAGTTTTGGGTTGCAGTGAACTATGATGATGCCACTGCACTCTAGCCAGGGTGACAAAGCAAGGCTGTGTCTCAAGGAAAAAGAAAATGCTTATCAAATCTAGTCGGTAAAGTTGAATGCTAATGAATTAGTCAAGGGTGAGACAAATATGAAAGACTAGAAAAGAATAGTAAATTCTGGTATTCTGTGCTAAGATACCTTTTCAAGTATCTTTGAATTCTGGCTCCATTTAAACAAAAATAAACTGTCTTTATACAACAAAGACAAGGCAGGATAGCAGGCCCATACTTGGCCTTTGGCCCTACACCAAAAGATTGTTATGAATTAATGATATAATAATAATAATGATAATAAAATTTATCCTTAATTTATTTTAAAGAATGTATGCATTTTAAAAAATGAATTCTTCACTTTTATGATATTTTTACTTAAAATAACCAATTGTAATCCAATGTCCTCAGATAAATGGGCTTTGTTTATTTGGAGAGCTTTCGGCATGAATGTTGGCATTGAATCAATTAAACCTGAAAATTTGAAAGATAGGTAATTTGACATTTTAGGCCTTCTATCATGTATCCAGTTTTTTGGTGATGAAGGAAATATTCAAATACTATGGGAAACTTTTTATGACACAATCTCTAGCTGAAGGGATTGGATCTATTCTAGAAACAATTAAGTCAAGCCGTGGGTGCTGGAAAAATCAAGGAATTACAGTAGTGTTCAGGAAGTCTATCATCAAGTTTTCCTGAAGACTGAGGGAGGTGAGTGTCACTGGGAGGAGGGAGACATTGATCTGGTGTTATCACGATAGTTGAAGCTCTAAGAAATGACAATCCGTCAAGAGAACAGATGGGATAGCCAGGGGTAACAATGATTTCATGTGCATTTTAAGGAAAGGGGAATCAGAATGCTCAAGTAGGAAAATGGAATAAAGAGCTGATTTCTCACTAAATTCTCATATGGGCAGCAAATGGGAAATAAACTAAGTAATAATTATAGGGAACAGATTACTGGTGGGCCTGAAATTAGTTAAGGGCATATGGAGCTGATGATAAGGGAAGTCTTCACAGTCCTTAAGGAAGGAGTTCTTTTTAAGGTCTTAATAAAAGTCATAGTGTAAAACTCCGCTTATCCTCAAAGAATATAAAAATCCTATTGTTAATATATACATTTCCATCTGGATTGGGAGACATTTGGGCCATTCAGCAGGTAGTATTTCCAATCCCCTCTTAAAACCCTCCCAGACTGTTGTTCTCAGGATACACACCTGAAAGTTAATGTGGCTAACAAGGGTACTCATGATAGTCCGCCTATCACTTGTCCCACCCATTCCTGTTCTTCACTCCACAGTGGACACACGTGAACACAAACGCAGTTGTTCCAGCCACCTTTTAGACCTCCTCGATGTTGATTATTACTATTGCTCTTTCCTCCGCCTGAACAATCTTCCCTTTTTTTTGCCAGCAAACTTCTTGTTTTGTTTTAAAACGTCACTTCCCTTTATTCTGACCCTAGAACTGAGTAAGTGTCACTAGGTTATTTCATAGTGCGTTGTACCTGCTACTGATCATAAAAACTTCCAACATGTGTCTTGAAGACTTGTAGAATAATCTTTGTTGTTTTATATCAAACCAATGCAACCTAGGTAGGCCCACTGGCCCAGTGTAGCAGTTGTATGGAATTTATTAAAACTGATGAAGTTTTAACTCTAAATCAATCAATTTCTATAATTTATTATTATAATACAATAAAAGCTATAAATACATTCATGTGGATTATTCAAGTCTATTTTCAGAAAAAAATAGATTGAAAATTATTTTTGCAAGTAAAATCCTCTTCTTTTTAGTGCAATAGGCAACACTGGGGAGAAGTTCTGGCAGTCAGATTTAACATACACTGAGTAGTTGCTATGCTTTATGTGTCGCTCCAATTCATATGCTAGAAACTAAAGAATCAATGTGGTGTTTAAGATGTGGGCATTTGAATGATTGAGTCATGAGGGCACATCCTTCATGAATGGATTAATAACCTTAACAAGGCTCAAGAAAAACTAGTTAGGCACCTTTTGATCTTTCTTACCTTCTACCATGTGAGGGCACAAGATATGTCCCTTTTCTTGCTAACTATGTAAGGGATGCAGCAACAACCTTCCAACTGGGAAGCAGACAGCATACACTTCACCCTAACACTGAATCTTACTGGCACCCTTTATCTTGACTTCTCAGCTATTACTGTAAAAAAAAATACAATTTATGCATTTTATAAATTACCCTGTAAAGATATTTTGTTATAGCAGCACAAATGGACTGAGGAGAGTAGCTACATAGTAGACCAAGATCTAATTACTGCTGAAAAGTCATTTGACAGGGACTTTCTCTGACCTATTTTAGAATGGCTGTGTGTCTTTGGCACATGCTTGATTACAGTTGAAATGTTACCCAGCAACTGATTCGCAGAAGAAACTTCTATTGCAAGAAGGACTTAGCCGAATATTTGTTCCCTAACACTGCCAGACAGAATAAACCTTCAAATATGTTAAATGATGGAAACTAGAACACAACAGGCAGAAACAAATTGCTTTACCAGGTAGAATATTTCCCAAATCTTGCATAAATTTATAAGCTATCATTGTACAAACAGACAGTTCCTACCATAATAACGTTAAAAGTACATTAAACGGTGTTCACTTGGTAAATTTATTAAGCTGCCTTTTGGATCACTGAATCTGTTTTTTTGTCCTTCTTAATACTTTTATTTTGTTTATCTTAATGTACTGATTACACTCTCCTCCAGTTGACTGAACAAGGAGTTTTTTTTCTTTCTTTTTTTCCCTTTTTTTTTTTAATTTACAGCATATTAATGGGGTACAAATCTTAAGGTATATGTATATGCTTTGTCCCCATCTCCCCCCTTGAGTCAGCTTCAAGGCCATGGCCAGCCCCCAGACAATGCGCATAGCACATTTATGTATGTTATAACCATCCCTCCTCCCCCCCTCTCATTTGCAGCATCCGATAATGTTATTTCCTATATGTCCACTTAGTGGTCAGTGAAACCACCAATTTCTGAATGAGTACATGTTTGATGCTTGTTTTCCATTCTTGGGATACTTCACTTAGCAGTAATCACTGATCTTCACACTGAACCTTATTGGAATAGTACTATACTATGACAATTGAGAGAAACTTAGGCACAGGGAGGAACACAGAGCTTGAAGAGGCAGGTCAGGTGCAGGAACAGGGTCAGGTGCAGGAAAGCAGCAGCTAGTACATGGTGGGCAGGAACTGGGACATGAGTGGAAGCAGGATGTGTAGGGACCCTCTGTGCACCTCTGGCTCTTCAGAGCCCACAAGTAGATTTAATTTTGAGCCCAAACTCAGTTAAACTTTAACACTTAACCTACAGAGAATAGGTAACTAACTATCCAGGGCCCAGATAGAGATTTTCTGACAACTTAATGCCTGAAAGAAAGTAAAGATGTAGCTGCCACAGAGATAATGTCAGTACCTTTAAGCTCATTTAGGTTGTTTTGGCACCTGATGCCTCATTCCTTTGTTTGAGGCAAATTATGTTTGATCATCTCCTCTCTCAATTTAATCCTTCCTTACAAAACAGATCACAAATTCTTTAAGTTCTGACAAGTAGAAATCCTAGTTTCCAATCTTGCTACAGGTTTACTAAAGATATCATATGCTTTTGCTCTTTTTAAGGAGATTTGAATAGAAAGGGCATTAAATGTGCTCTTATTTAACTGAATGACTGTTTAGAATATCACCTGAACTGATTAAGTACATTTTGTTTAAAACAAAAATCGCATATGCAAAAATATATAAACAAGATTTTTTAAAAATTTTTTATTGTATATAATCTAATTAGATATTATTAATTATTTCCTATGAAGAATATGTATGTTCTATTTATTAATATCTGATAATCTCAATTACATTGTTTTAGGAATGATAGATATAGGGAGTTAAACATTCCAGTTATAAATAATAACATCAAAATTCATAAAAATACCAAAGTTGAGAGCCAGTGAATCTTTAAAAATATCTTTTCTTTGGCAAAATCATTGCTTTTTTTCTTTACTGAAAACCATTTCAAAATGAGTAATTATGTCTCTGTGAATATGAAAATAATGATAGTAAATAGATTATTATAAGGAGAGTTCATAGTTGTTTTTCCTGAAGATCAAAAAAATGAACATTTTAATTATCCTGGATAAGGTGTATATTGAGTATTATCTGAACATAATGATATAAAACTTATTTTTTAACTTTTGGAATATATAACATTTGCAAAATAACACTAGTTGGTATGTCTGAAATAAAGTATAACTAGATTTAACAGAGTAAAATATAATTTTTATTAAGATTATTTTAATAAGGCTTTAATTTTGCTATGAAAATGGAAAATAAATCAGAGCTTATAATTCAAAGCAATTTTCTATGCAAAGTTTCATTTATAAATGTAAAAACTCCTATGTCCTTTCTCCCGAATTCTCAATGAATATTCAAAAACATATAAAAACATTTATAAATCAGTGATACAGAAAATAACCTCTGCAATTGTAAAAGAAAAATCATACAACTGGAGGTAAAGGAATCGCAGCTTAATTCAGACAGATGTCAGTAATTAAAAAAAAAAAAAAAAAGATAGTCCCAACCAATATACAGACTATAAATGTCTGAGGACACTTTCACCAATCTACTGCCACACTCCTGTTCTTTGTTCCCGGTTTCCAGTATTTTCAAAAAACATGAAGTCCTAGATAAAAACAAAAATACAGAAATGAGTTTTCAGCAACAAAATATAGATCAATTCACAGTTGCAGAACTGCTAAGGGATCTAACGAAACAGTAATATATCTGTTAACTAAGAAAGTTAATTGTAATAAGTAGATATGGGAAAAGCCTACAGTTACATAAATCTCTCTTCAGCTTTCTATTTGAACAGTAATTAAATTCTATAATTCTATTCATTTATTGATACCTGTATGAGTTTAATTAATCCTCTGAATTTCTCTAAATGTCACTTTTTCTCATCCCTCTTGTAATCTTTCTATTTCAGGCTTTCTTCCTCAACTTTTTGTGGTCCTTCTCTAATAATATAACTTTTTTAGTGACTAAGAGTTCCGCATACAATGTTAAATTTTTTCAGGAGAATGACAGTCATCTTAAGAGTAGAAAGCATTAGACTTAGAAATTGTTGGCTAGGTTCATCATTTCTCTTCCAAACTTGTCTGCTAAGTTCCTCAGCTTGTTTCACTCTATCAGTGTCTAACTAGACCCTTTCCTCTATGACTTCAGTCAAATCCTATGAAATTTATTCCTCATACTGCCATTATTTTCCCTTACCCCTTCAAGGGAAATAATTTAACCCTTGTTACCAATTGTTTGCATTGCACTATTGCAATTTTACCTCTCTTCCACCCATTGCCCACATAGTCACTAGGATTTATCTTTCTAAAATTTGGATTTATAATTATTTTATAATACCTAGTTTAAAACCAACCAATTAACTAAACAATTTCCAATGACTTAACCAATGTCTACAAAAAGCTGCCTAATTTTTAAAGCTTCTTTAGAAGTCCATAGTCATTTCCTAATAATCCTTCCACAATTTGCAGCCCCATTATCCATCATTCCAAACACTCTTTAGATTGTTCTCTTTCTCCAAAATACACCATACTTTTCACATACTCTGCTTTTGGTTAAACAGTTCCCTCAATGTTAAGGTTAACATTTGCTTTTTATGTGAAATGAAGACATTGAAAACACAATTTTTACATACAACTCTGATTACATTTAAACTTTAGTTTAAGAAAATATTAAGCATATCCAAAATTAGATATAACAACATAAAATAATCCCAGCAACCACCTACCCAGCTTCAAAAATTATTAATATGGCCAGTCTTAGTTCATCTATTACTCCATCCTCTAGGTCCCTCTGCTCTCACTGCCATTATTTAAAAATAAATCCCTGATTTCATACCATTTTATACTGAAATATTTTAGAATATGCCTCTAAAAATATGGACTGTTTTGTTTTGATATAATAACACTGTTATCATCACATCTAAAACAACTTTAAAATCCTTTCATATCATCAAATAGCCAGTCAATGTTTAAATTTCCCTGAATGCCACATAAATGTCTTCTAATATTGGTTCGTTTGAATTGCTATCCAAACATAATCAACAAAATGTATTAAGTTGATATCTCTTAATTCTCTCTCTTTCTTTTTATCTTTGTCTTTTTATTTTCCTTGCCACTTACTTGTTGAAGAAACTGGGTCCTTTTTTGCTGTATATTCTCTTATCTGTTAAGTTTTTTCTGATTACATTCTCAAATCATGTTTAAGATATTTGTCGAGTGTTTCAAACCTTGGTTGCACATTGGAATCACCTGGGAGCTCTAAACAGACTGAAGGCTTGGTCCCAGCTTCAGAGATTTGGGATTTAATATATTTAGATACAATCTATTCATAGAGAGTTTGCAAGTTACCCGGGTGTTTTTACTGCACAGCTAAGGTTGAAGACCATTGCTCTGTCCCCATGATCCTCAACTTTGGTGCAGTTTGGAACCACCTGGGACACTATACAAACTTCTGATTCTGAGCTTCTGATTTGGTTGAACTCAGGTATGGCTTGGTGCTTAGGGTTTTTTATAACTCCCTGGGTGATACTAATGTGAAGACAAGTTCAGAATCATTGCTTTATCCCATGTATTTCCTGTAAATTGGTAGAGCTCAAGGCTTAATTGATGGCATATTCTTATTAGAGTTTATACTCCTATATTAGATAAATTCATTTAATAATGAGCCAGGACAAAGTTTCCCTGTTTCATTAAGTTTTTTTTCCCACATAAGCCCAGATTGAACTTCTTCCCCAAAGCACAAATTTTGTTTTGTTTTGTTTTGTTTTAAATAAAAACCCCAAAGACTAGGACCCCTCCTTAGTACATACAGTCTTTCTCTTGCCATGTGAAAATGACTCTAGACAAAAACTAGTCACCTGTGAGTCTGGGAATGTTAAGATGAAATGAAATTTAAGAGCTAGATCTAAATGGGAACGCTTGTTTAAAATCTATATATTTAAGAAGGTCATTTTGAAATATACAGTATACTGAATCATTTCAGAATGATAGTAGAAAAACCATCTATAATCAAGATTTTTATATAAAAACAGACTTACAATTAGGAAACAGGCACCAACCATCACAGCTTTCATTTTAACATCAAGGTCTAAAGGGAACTGGATCCCAAAGTTATCAGCATCTGTAAATGCCTCTCTCACAAACCCAGACCACTGCTTGGAAATCTTGCCAACCACAATTTGTTCATCAAGAGATTTAATCTAAATTAAAAAAAAAAAAAAGGTCAAATATTTCTAGAAAACATATAGCAAAAGTACTTTCAATTTTGGAGTAAAATGAAATAAATGTTGTATTAAAATTATACACCCTACGTTAACTGTGAACATATAATCCTCATTAGATACAAATAAGCTCCTGTAGCTATTTAGATACAATAAATAAACCCTTGTTCACACCTTGAGGTGTGAACAATGAAAGAAGAGTGCATTAAAAAAGAGCTTCAAAGTAAATATTTTCTAATTTCACAAATCCACCTGAGGAAAGTCCAAGGCCATAATATGGAGTTGAACAGATTGTGCTCAGACTAAACCAAATCCTTAACTGGGCATGTGGGAGCTAAGCATAGGCAGCATTCCTTAAGCTATGTACACAGATAGGGTTGTGATAACCAAGGAGGAGGAGTGTTCTTTTCAAATGTATGCAAGGCACCACATGTGCTAGCAACACCCTTTGAAGCACTTGCCTTAGGTTCATACCAGCTAAATAAATGTGGGGAGACTAAAAACAGTTGACTTATTTTATTTGGGTGAAGATGGATGTGTTCTTAAAAAACCTGAAATAAATGTCTAATATGAAACTGATAGCATGGATTACTGTCTATCAAATATTCATTTCATTCCCTCTCCCAGCTGTAGGCACATATATTGTAGTATACTTTCTGCTCATTGATAATTAGCCTTGGTCATGTAACTTGTTTGACTGATGGGTGTCAGCACATGTGATATGAGTAGTGTTCTTAAACATGGCTAAGTGCTTTGGCCTGCCTCTTGCTCTCCAGTGATAATAATTCACCATAAAGGCATAATCCAGGTAGCTGCTGCTGCTACACCCCTCGAACAAATAAATCTGGAGCAGACCTGAGGCCAACCTGCAGCCTAGGTCAGAAGCTAAGCATATCCATTGAAACACAGCTGACCTGCAGATGCCTTAAGCATGAACATAAATGCTTGGTTTAAGTCATTCAGTTTCAAGGGTTATATGTTACACAACATTATTGTGGCAAAACAAATTAATATAAATCCTCTCTCGTCTATATTAGTACTTTATCTGCTTATAGCTGTCATCTAAGTACTTGAATCTAGTGATGAAAACCTTACATTTTATTTTTTAGTTGTGAAATATTTTTAAAAATGAAAAATGCAGCTGACAACTTACCAGCCACCATAAACCCAACTCTACACTGATAAAGATATTTCCATTTTCCCTTTTTGATGACTACAGCAATAAATTTAAAAATTCACCAAAATTTATGCAAGAAATAGAAAATATAGGTTTTTTATGGCAAGGATCAGAAGTGTAAATAATGATTTACAAACAACTATCTAGTCATTAGGACTAGATGATTTTTAGCAAATTCTAGATAACATTTTAAAAACAGGAAATCCCTACAATAAAATTTCAATCTTTGGATATAATAAATCAATATTATATAAATGTTAAGCTTTTAAATCCATAAATTTAATATCAATAATTGGCAAAGGTATTCTTAAAAAAAACCATAGACTCATCTCACAATGTAAATATAAATGCAAAAAAATTATATATAACAATACACATAGAACCTAGGTATATATTAAAGGAATATAGCATAATAAAGTGTAATATTTGATTGTATTAACAGTTGCTGATAAGATATTTTATTTATTTACTAATGATGCATTTATATAACATTTAGTAAATGCAAGACAAAGACTTTATAATTATTAAGTAATTTAATCTTCATAACAAACTTACAAGATATGTACTATTATTATACCTAATTTTCATGAGAAAAAACTAAAGCAAAGAGAAATTAAATTTTCCAAGGTTACACAGCTAAGATATTGTAGGGATAGGTTTCAAACTCAGGCATTTTGGTTCCAGTTTCTGTACTCTTGATCATTATGATATTCTGCTTTTTAGAAAGTCATATGTCAAATACTAATAAAAATCTAGGTCAGGGGTTAGCAAAAAATAATCAGTGGGCTATAGTTAACTACATAAAAAATAAATATTTAGCGTGTGTGTGTGTGTGTGTGTGTGTGTAAAATAAAGTCTAAAAATAAAAGGTAGATTTGAGGAAATATTTGCATATCAGAGGATAGATACAAAGTCAATATCTCCAATACACAAATTATTTAATAAATTGACAAGAAAAAAGTAAACTACAAGTAAAAAGGCAATAGAATGCAGGAAAAGAGCAAATACCAGTAAACTTAGAGCAAAATGTTCTAACTCCCTAAGAGTTAGGAAATTACATATTAAAGTAAAAATAACCTCCTCTCTCCTCTGTTGCTTTTAAATTTTCTTTAATAGTTTGAAGTTCACAGTGAACCTAATTTGTACCTGGGTGTCATTGCTTTTTTTTTTTTAAATCCAGAACTATCTGCACTTTCTTAATCTGAGTATCTATGACATCAAATTTGCAAATTTTTAGCCATTTCTCTCTTTGAATATTATATCAACACATTGTGTCTTCTTTTTATATATATATAATTCCCTTTGACATATGCAAGAGTAGTTTATTCTAGCTTCCATGGCCTTTTGATTTTATTTGATCCTTCAAATTTATATTTATTTTTCCTTATCTATAGTTTCCTCATCTATAGTTTCCTCATATAAATCATCCAGTTTACTAATTGTCCCTCCACTTGTGTCTAATTTGCAGTTCAACCTTTCCAACAAGGTTATATCAATGACCACCTCTCATTTTCAGAGATGCAATTTGGCTTGTTTCCAAGTCTTCCTGTCCTTTATTGATAGTCTATTTTTTCTTATGGCCTGCTTTGTTCTTCTTTTGTATGTTTAATATTTATGTAGGTATATCTTTTATGATTAGTTGAAGATTATTCTATTACATGCAGTTTGTTTTGACTGTTGACTTTTATTCTTGATGGATTAGTTCCTAAATTGTAACAGGTTGAGCAACCTTAATCTGAAAATCTGAAATCTTAAATGCTCCATAATCCAAACTTTTTGACCACCAACCTGATAAACAAAGAAAATGTTCATTTGAACATTTCGGACTTTGAATTTTCGGATTAGGTATGCTCAACCAATAAGCATGATGCAAATATTCTAAAATCTGAAAAAAAATCTGAATTTGAAAGCACTTATGGCCTCAAGCATTTCTGGAAAAAGGATATTCAAACTATATGTAATTTTTCAGTCCTCTCATGTGAAGATAGGATTTTGGGGTAGAAAGAGAGAGGAGCCTTGGTGAGCAATCTCTTTATAGTATGCTTTTGCATTTATTCTGCCACTCTATATCATCTATATCTATATCTATATCTATATCTATATCTATATCTATCTATATCTATATCACCACTCAATCCATTTCTATGTTTTAAGATTCCTTAACCACAATAGTGGCATGAATTCAGACTTAAAAGTTATAGACAGGGCTGACTTGGGATATCAGTTTCATGTGGCCATATTTTTTCCCCTATCAAGAGTCCTGGAAGGAGACAGACTCCCTCAGCATCAACATTGGATAGAAGATCTACATGGTTCTCTCCTATTCACTGCTGTGATAATATTCTTACAACTTTAACTACTATCTATATGCTGAAAACTCTAAACTTTTTCCCCTACATAACTAAAATCCACCATGACCCAAGTACATATCATGAGCTTCCCAAAAATAAAGTGTTTCCCCACTAAGATTCCTAACTTGGCCAATGGTATCGTTATTCATTAACCTGCTTGAACATCTGACAGCAGAATAATAAGACATCAGAATCATCTCCAGGTTTACTTTCATCCTCAATTGACATCAAATCCATGAATCAGTCCCCCACAATACACCTATGGATGTCTCTTGAATTATTGCTTTCTTTAGAATGACTTCTACCCCTGCTGTGGATCAGGTTTTTATCTCATTTTAACTTCAAGTTCCCATGCTCAGTGACACCCTGATGAAGTCCATGTTCCTCATTCGTCCCTCATATGGATAATTCTGTTTTAAGTTGTCAAACTTTCCATTGTTAACCCTAAAGGAAATGATTCAAGTGACTGTTTATCAATTCTCTCCAAGACAGTATCTAGATATGATCATTCTAGATGAACAGAAGAAAAGTTAATGCATTACATGTAATGGATGCTTTAAGACATCCATCAAGAAAGGTTGTTGGATGAAATTTAATTTCTTAGCATCCAATGTAAGAATTCCACAATGCTTCTCCAGTGTTTTCACATATGTATTTCCTAAAAATAAGATATATGCCAGCTAAATTTCTGTTAATATTGTTCCTTGAAGGAGCAATTACCTTTCCACTCCTCTGGATCTACAACAGCTATGCCATCCACTATGTGGAGAACTATTATTATTCATACCCCTATATAAAATCTGTATACATGCATATTACACACATATACACTACACAAATACCTTTACAAGAGCTTTTTAAAAGTTTCTGCATCGTGTGTTTTTTTTAGAATTGCCTATCTTTGTCACTAGACTGTGAAGTTAACAAGAGGAAGGATTCATCTTTGCATAGCCAGAGTACAACAGAAGATTTGAAAGCCGTATGATTAAAGAAGGTAGGTTTTCTTTATATTATCTGATATCATATAATCAGATAATATAAGTGAATGACACTGTATAGTAGAAAACCTAAGGAATTAGTGGAGATAGTGGTAGAGTTCACTCGTCATTATTGTAAAGGGGCAGCCCTAATCAACTTTAGCAGATTTCTGCCCCCTCTATGGAAAGGTAGTTTACTTGATTTTCTGATTTCCCAAGAAAAACAAGAAATCAAGATTAATTCATAAAATCTCCCAGTTGTTAAGCATTTGCAAGCAAAAAACTCAGGTTGTAAGGCTAGGTCATTTGTTGGAGAATGGCAGTAATGAAATTCTACTATGTAGTAAATATACGGATATATTGTGGTTTCCAATGACCTAATTTAATACAGGGATAAAGAAGAGGCTACAGATAAGCATAATGGGGTAGTACATATTGTACTAACTTTCTTAAAACTGTCTTTGCATGATTGATCTTTTTTGCAGGAACTCAATGATGTCAGACTTTCTGAACATGGTCTCAAGCAATGGCAGCCTATATTTCAGATTAAAGGAAGGATCCATATGTTTTGGCAATTAAACTTAGATAACAAAGTTAATGATCTATTTAAAATGGATAATGTACAGTGTCATATAGAAACAACCATGTGTAAATGTTAGATATTTTGCTTATTTTATTTGACTGCAGAGCTCTACTTCTCTTTTTTTTTCCATTTGTTATAATTAACACTGACCTTTAATCAAGAGTATTAACCACCACTCTGAACCAAAGTTAAATACATGATAACATTATCTCTCTATTGAGAAATTAGTACACAATATTAGTTAATGTATTTGTAACATCCTGCAAAAATTACATTCTTCTTATTAGGAAAGCAAATCATATAAACATTGTGACGTCTCTTACCTCAAAATCAATATCTGCACAACAGCTGCACACAACACATGGACCAATGATTTTTAGTACATCCTCTCTTTTCTCATTTTGAATTGTAAACTTTGGAAGACATGGGTGCCAGTCCTGAATAACATAACCTATTGGTACACCAGGAGGGGCTTGGATTTCTAACTATAAAGACAGAAGAATATATGTAAATGTGATAATCATTGTGATATCTAGGTTGAATAAAAAGTTCAATGAAAGGGTGAAAATTCTTGCTGAACTACTTTACAAACTGCCCTGGTAGTTGCTCACAGACCTCTTGAAGGCAGCAGGGGAAACAACAGCTGGAACATTTTAGTGGTCTCTCCAGAGTTATAACTTCTTTACCCATATTATCAATAATCCTCAATGTAAATGGTCTACTTGGCCCGCAGCAATTTCGGGTACAGAAATCATTATCTTCCACTGCAAAGTAAACCCTCTGCCCAAGGCTGTTCTTAATCTCATATTTGTTATTAGTTTCAAAACCTGTTAAGACTAAAAATATAAAAGAGAAAATCATAATCACCTTTATGTTAAAAACATTGAATGTATCCTAAGATATAATATCTAGATACACAAGTCTTAGATGATATTTCAAGAAAAGGTGTTTAGAGATGATCGAAGCAGAGAAAAAAAGGCAAAGGAAAAGGAGGAGAAGAGGCTGTTAATATATGGAGAAATAAAGAGGGCTTACAAGAGACAAGGAAAAGAAAACAAGTCCTACCTTCCTACTTTCATAATCTCCTGTCAAATGGAGACATTGCTGCTGGACACATTTGTGCTAGTTGTGTGGACAAAATGTCTACTTACCCAGTATAGTTCTCATGTATCATTGAGGGAAATATATGATGATTGATGCTTATGCTTGATGAAATATATTAAATCAAGTGGTTTGAGATTTTATTTCATAAGCCACAGTTATGTTTTGATTTTTGCACCACATTTGAAGGAAGGCAATGAGAAGTCTTACTCTCAATGCAAAAATATAAAAAAGGAGTGAATGAAACTGGAAGGTGTATGTTGCCTTGGACCCAGGGCACCCTTGTTTAATTTAGCAGTAGTTTTTAAAAAGTAGTAGATGGGTATTAGAGAGAGAAAGTGCTTGGCAACCAGGGCTTTAACTCATAAAATAACTAGACTCTGGGCAGCCTAAGTGAACTTTGCACCTTAGATAGGCTAATCTCTTCATGGAAGGAATAGAGGGATGAGAAGTGCTGACAATCATATGATATCTTACTGAGGGATTCCCATGTGGAGCCACATATTGGAAACCTCTGCCTGTTTAGAGCCAGAAAGGAGAAATGAATGGTCCCACTTGTCCATAGCCCCCAGTAACTTGGGTCATAGATGTCAGAAGCCTGACCAAATAATGAGTGATTGAAAGAAATAAATATATGGAGGCGAAATCCCTCTAAAATGTCTGCATGGGAGGAATTTTAGGCAGATAAAGATGTCCTTCAGAAGACTATCACCATGACCTACCTTAAGGTCTTTGGTGGGACTTAGAAGGCGATGGACTCTGTATTTATAAGAAATGTTTGGTGAGAAAAAAAGTAAACTGGTTTTGAAAGAACATATATTATCTAACTAGTTGTTTCATTTTGAGAAACTTAATCTGAAAAATGTCCAGTTTGTTTATTTGTAAACCAACATGGGTTTACATAATCCTTCCGTTTCCTTCTAGTTACTTAAAAATGAAAACACATAGACTTCTGTTTATGTCTTTATTGTCTATTATGTTTTGAATTGAGGGAAAATATAAATGCCTGTTATATGCTCAGATGCTAAAAACCTGAATACTCTTCATCTTCTTTATATTACTTGTAATATAAGAAAATAATATAGACTTTCAATTTGGGAGAAAAAGAAATCAAGAAAACTAGAGACATACTTTTTAAAAAACTGCAGAATTAAAGACTAGTAAATTGGGAACTTACTTTATATTTTATGATTAAGACATGTATTTTACAAATATTTCTATAGCTTATAAATCTAAAAAAAAAAAGGTTAAATGGTGAACTGTGTAATGTATGGTACCTGCTGTTTAAATTTCATAACTTTAATAGTATACACCATAAAATTAATATTAAAAATTCCAGAATACAAATTATCAAACAACAAAGAGCTCTCTTCCAGAGATAACTTTGTTTAAAAAAACTAAGCAAAATCAAGAATACTACAAATATCGAATAATGTACGTTATAAGTAATTTAAATGAATGAGGTGACAATTATATATTTTAGCCAAATCTGTTACTCTGCTTGTACAATTCATATTCTAATTTCTCCCAGTGGAAAGAAACTTTGGAGATAGATGAAGATGGATTTAATAGACAGATTCTAAAAATCAATAAATAGAGTTTTCATTAAATCCTTTATATCCAGAAGAAAGACACTAAAGTTCATAAATCCACCCAGTGTCTCATTCCCCTGGCAGTTGTCCTAAAACATCTAGTGGCTTCCTAAGTTTACTCTTGCACCCAGGAGCACTGGTCCCAGGGAAATGTCAGGCTCATTCAGCAGGAGCAGCAGTGCTTTCCTAGGAGGCCAAGCCTGCAGGCCTGCTGGTCAGCATCCTCCAATACTGCAGTGCCCCTGCATGCTGGCTGGTAATCAATCTACAGCCCATGGAACAAAGATTTTATAGAGTTCATCTAAACTCCCAAGAGAAACTGCAGGCATGAGAAATAATTATCCCAAACATCCCCATCCAAATTCGAAAAGATCATTTCCTTTGGAATGTGGCTTTGGGCTATTATCAAGGTAACTGCAATTGGGGAGAAAACAGCTGAAATGGTTAAAGTTAGGTCAAATGATAGAATCACTTAAAGTGATGTATAAAGAGAGGAACAAAAGTAAGTTATGTTTTCCTTCTAAGGTAATGTCTGTATCATGAGGACAGATGCCCAGCATAATAGTATTTTGGCATTTGACTACTAATGTTTAGAAGTGGATTGCTGGCAATGTTCATAATTTCATTTCTGTGAAGAGAGATGCTTGTAAATAACCAGGTTTAACAGGTTTAATAGGTTTAACTGTCCCACATGATTTAGTGTTGTATTTGTGGAGGTTGATGTGCTTTTCTCTTCATAAACCTCTTCTCTTTCTAGAAGTATAATGAATACAATGAATACATACCTTCCAAAAGTTCAATTTGCTGATGAACCAGTACCTGGTTTATCTATTACAGAAAAAAGAAAATTAAGTAGTAAATATATGTTAAATGAAGGTTTTAAAGCCAACCAAATTAATATGCATGTATTTATATTTTAAAAAGTACAAGTAATCAATTATCAATATTTAATAGTTTATATTACTTTTTAGTGTAAGCCTAAAGTTAATGTTTTTAATTGATAAAAACATTTATTGAAAGTGTTCACTATTAATGTGTGAAAGTTTAGGTCAAATAAAATTGGCTTACACTGAAACACCTATAAAAATTAGAAAACTGACACACATGGGCAACAAATACATGAAAAAAATGCTCAACATCCCTGATGATTTCCCTAATCATCAAGCAAATGCAAATCAAAACCACAATGAGGTACCATCTCACCCCAGTTAGAATGGCTGTTAGCAAAAAGACAGAAAATAAGAGCCATGGTGAAGATGTGAAGAAAGGGGAACTCCTACACACTGTTGGTGGGAATGTAAATTAATACAGCAATTATGGAGGACAGTACAGAGGTTCCTCACAAAACTAAAAGTAGAACTACCATATGATCCAGCAATCCCACTACTGGATATATATCCAAAGGAAAAGAAATCAGTGACGACGAAGACATAACTGCACTCTCATGTTTATTATAGCAGTATTCACAATAGCCACGATATAGAATCAACCTAAATGTTCATCAACAGAAAAATGCTTAAAAAATTCACTCTATACACACAATGGAATATTATTGAGCCATAAAATGGAATGAAATCTTGCCATTGGCAGCAACATGAATAAGCCTGAAGGACATTATGTTAAGTGAAATTAGTCAGGCACAGAAAGAAAAAATATTGCATGTTCTCACTCATATGTGGAAGTTAAAAAAGGTCATCCCATTGAAATAGAGATTACAACAGTGGTTACTAGAGACTGGCAAGAGTATGGATGGGGGGAGATAGCGATAGGAAACAAAATTACAGCTAGATATAAAAAATAAATTTTAGTGTTCTATAGCACTGTAGGGTGACTGTAGTTGACAAGAATTTGTTGCATATTCTCAAAACACAAAAAGACAGAATTATGAATGTTTCCAATACTAAGAAATGATAAATGTTTGAGGTGGTAGATATGTTAATTATCCTGATTTGGCCATTACACATAGCTATATATACTAAAATATCACATTGCACACCATAAGTACATACAATTAATATATATCAAAAACAATAATAAAGAAATTAGAAAACAATGTTCCTTCTAGAAAGAGGCTTAAGAAGTATCATAATCTTTTATTCATTTAAAGAGTTTTTTTAACAAGTTTCAAATTTTTTAAGTATATTTGTTATCATCATTTGTAATAGGTGATAACTTCCCTTATGTATTTGGTGAAATGCTGATTTTTAAAATATCTATTTGTATGTGTTTCTTGGAGAATATAATAGTGACCAAAAGTTCCTGTAATATGTGATTTCTTGAGTGTATTATGGGAAATTAAGTTATTATAGACAGTGCAAAGGAGAGAATGGATTGACTGTAAACTGGTTGGATATCACAAGAATCTTTGTTTATATATTTATAGGATGCACAGAGATTCATATTTCTATTTTACCTACCTGATTTCTAACACCAAATAAATGTTAATCCTCATATTGCTGAGATTAACTATTATGTAGTACAGCAAAATCTGGAATTTTTATTCCCCTATCAATGATATTCATAAAATTGGGTCTTCCGAAGAATAAAAGCAGCATAATAAAAATGTAGTTGTATTAGTTACAATCAAAAAGTGAGTCATAGCACACACAAAATACTAACTCCTTGTTTGATGTCACTTATTGCAACTCAACAATAAACTTTATTTAAAGTTTCTTTCAAATTGCAGGGTAATTTTGCAGTGTTGAGATTACAGAGCATGAGGTTCAGAACCGAAGTTCCAGAATTAAAAGCCAGCCAAGCCAGCCGTACTTCCTTAGGTTTTTGACTCTAAACAAGTTATATAACTTCTCTGAACCTCAGTTTCCTCCTTTGGAAAATGGAGATAATTATAGCACCTATACATCATACATTTTCTATAGGGATTACATGAGTTAATATATGTATTATGCTTAGGACAAATACTGGAGAATAGTGCTTACTAAATATTTGCTATTGGCTATTATCAGAGATCAAGATCACAGAAAACACAATTTCCTAAGACATTTGTATTTTGCATTAAAAAAGAACCTGACATAGAAGAATCAGAGTAATCCAGTTAGCAGGAAATTTGGCCTTACCATTTCAGCTTTGTTGAATTATTCATTTGTTAATTTGGTTAAGTAAATTGAAAGCACAGTTTTGTTTTGTAGGAGAATTTGAGTACTTGAAATTACCTGACTTAAATATTCCAATCCAGGTGGACAGTTTAATGGAGGTGGTGGTGCTGGCATCCATGGTACCCCTGCAGGTCCACCTGGCGGATTATATACAGGCTGATTCTGAACAGGGAAACCAACTGGGCCAGCATGTGAATAGCCAGCTGGTGGCACTGGGTAGCCAGCTGGTGGGCCTGGGTAGCCAGCTGGTGGGCCTGGGTAGCCAGCTGGTGGGACTGGGTAGGCAGCCTGGGGTCCATGGTATCCAGTATGTCCTGGGGGTCCTGAAATAGCAACAGGTAAAATAATTTGTGAGTGCACAGAAAAAAATCATCAACCCTTTTAGGATTACCCCAGCTATTCACAAGCTGACTTCTCACGTCAGAAATCCTGTATCTGTGAAGCTTAATGTGTGCTTTTATCTTCAGAGATTTTTCAATGAAATATCTGTAGTTTCCTATCTACTTCCATTTTTGAGGGTAGTGGGCTGTGAATAGAGTTGGCCCACAGCCTTAAACCTCACCATTCAAAACTTTGCTGGAAAATATGCTTTAATACCTGGGAAAATGATAGTAAACTAACCATGATCTAGAGTCACCTACATAAAGATTCTGGCATGCCTTCATAGAAAAGAGAGATGGCATGAGGTAGAAGGCCCAAAATAAAGTCTTTGAGTCAGCATTTTTAGGGCCAAGACACTTGGGAAAAGTGATAATTCTGGAATTCTAATAAATGGTGCCTCCTATATAGAGAAGTAAAGTTTTGCCCCTTCCCTCCCCAAGGGATACTGGATAAGGTCTGGAGATGTTTTAATGTGTCACAACTGGAGGGGAAGATGACACTGGCATCTGTTAGATAGAAGTCAGGGATGCTGCCTAACATCCTAAAATGTCCAAAACATCCTCCTGAAAACAAGGAATTGTTCAGATCAAAATATTATTATGAGGAGAAACCCTGATATGGAGGGAAAAGCATGTCATTTCTTCTAGTATGTTTTAGATATTTGTTTGAGTTAATAGTTGGCCTGGAGTTTTAATCCATGGTGCATTCCTTTCCTAAGTCACTCTCTATTAAAAAAATTTCATTATGATTTTAGGTTAGAAATTCAAATTTCTCAATATAGCACCCTTTATTCTCAAATATAATTTGAGAAGCAAGAAAGGCAAAAGTTATAAGAGGCAGAGTAGAGGCAAATATTTAATAAGTATATGCTTTATAATCTCTGTGAATATGTAATTACAATGAAGCTTCATAAGCTTATTTGTATAGTCCACAGAGTAGCAATTCCACAGAAATCAAATATAATTTCAAAGGACTGTGTTCCTCAATATTTTAACATTAAAGGCCATGTAAAATTTTATACTTAGGCAATTTATAAATATTTTTAAATGGAGCATTTAGAACAAAATTCATATACCATTAATAAATAAGGCTTGTAAAAACAGATTAAACCTCATAATAATATTTTTTAAATATAGCTTTTAGAACCTATTCCTTCTACAATGAATGAATATGTACAGATGATCTATAATGTAACTGGCCTTGTTGCAGAATCAGGATACAGCAGCTCTTAAGGAGGCAACCTCCTCTCAGAGCACAGTCAACTTCTTGGAGACAAAAAATAAACATAAAACAAAAAGGTTTCATATTGTTGTGATGGAGACAATACATGGGGGAGAGGGATGAGTACGAGACAGCAGTCACTTTAGATAGACCTAATTTTCATTGGGATTTAAAAGGTGAGAAGGCAAAAGCTTTATGTGAAGATCTGGTGAGAGATGGTCCAGGAGGAAGAAAATTAATATATAAAAACCCTGATTTTGGAATGAATTTGGCATGTTTGTGAAAGACAGAGGAATTTCACAAGAGACAGAAAGTCTATGAATGGCTGCCACTAAAGCAATAGGAAGCAGTTCATTTAGGTAGGCCCTTACTAATTAGTTGGATTTGTTCCCAGTGTGATCGACAAGCATTGGGAGATTTTAAGCAAAAGGGTGAGTTCCATGATCTCATTTATACCTTAAAATATTTTCAGGAGGGCAGAGCACTGGGATTTACAAAAGGAGACAGATGCAATCTCTGCCATAATTACCTAATAAGAGAGACGATTTTATACTCCCCCTTATTCTAGGGAGCTACAACATCGGTGTGATTAATTGATTAATTAGAATTGAAGACAGTGCTTTGAAGTAAGGGACTGGTGTTTTTTGACTACATATGCTAATGGAAAGATATTGGGAGAGGGGAAGGGAAGCAGTAGGGTCAGATTCCTGAGGGATCTTGCCTTTCCACTGAGACCTGGAGGATGCATAGGAGTTGAGCATGCCAGGGGCATAGAAAAACATTTCTCACAGAAGTCCTGTGATGACAACAAACACAGGCCTTTAAAGGTCTGAAAAATAGCCAGTTTAGCTGGATAGTAAGTAGTGAGCTAGACTTAAGAGACAGTTAGAGACAGCAGGAAAAACATCATCCAGGGTCTGGTTTTGGCCTTTATCCTAAAAGTAATGGGAGCTTATCAAGTAGGAGCTGAACACCATTTGCAATATGAAAAGATTGACATTTTTAAGGATCATTGGCTTCAGTGCAGAGACCAGACCACAGGCAAGCCAGTGGAGTTGTGGAGATGTGAGTTAATTAGTTATATCCTTAACATCATCATAATCCTCTCAAGATTCTCTGACAGTGAGAATATGGTTGATTATTCCTCAAATCAATGGATTAAGCATATAGAATTACCTGAAGTTTAGACAATAGTTTCATTTATATAAAGTTCAATTGATTTAACATATTATTACTATTAATATGTTAGTTAGCAACTACTTGTCACTTATTATTTGCAAGCATTGTACTCAGTGTTTTACATATAATCTCATTTAATTTACAAAGCAATCTAAATTAGAAAATATTATCCACAATTACAGATAAGAAAACTAAGGCTTCAAGGTACTGAGACTTGTTTAAGACAACTACACAACTATTAAGTACAGAAGGCAGAACTTGAATCCTGATCCAAACTTTCTATGCCTCCCTTTTCCCACAAATGTAATGAGGATAATTAATATTGTTGACCTCATAAGAGTGTTCTGAGAATTAAATAAGTTAATTGACATTAACTCTATATTTAGAACAATGCCTAAAAAGCACAGCAAACTCTTAATTTTAAGTTATCATTACTGTTCATATCATTGTCATCTCAAGACCTTTGAGATAGGTGGCCTTGGACTTGAGAAATAAAATCAAGCTATTTTAAGTCTGACGATATCTAAATTTAATTATGTGTATATATATCTACTTTTAATTAGTTATGGAGTGGGTTAAGTCATTCTCTAAGTGTCTTGGGTAAACTTTAAAGACTTGCTAATAGTTCTCCAAACACTAACCCTATAAGAATTTAGAGCAGGGATGCTCAACCCTAACTTCACAATAGAATCACCAGGAGTATATAAAAATTACCAATCTCTGAATCTCACCACCAGAAGTTCAGATTTTGTTTTTCTGGGATGGCACCCTGGCAATTTTAAGTGCTTTTGTTTTTCTGGAATTTTGTTTTTCTGGGATGGCACCCTGGTAATTTTAAGTGCTTCTGGCTGATGGGTAAGTGCAGTCACAGTTGAGAACTACCACCTTAGAGTCTTGGGGCTTATTTAGCTCATATTCTTCTTTTTTTTTTGAAAGGCCATTCAATAATTTTATTTTTTTTTATTTTAGCGTATTATGGGGGTACAAGTGTTAAGGTTACATATATTGCCCATGTCCCCCTCGCCCCTCGAGTAAGAGCTTCAAGCGTGTCCATCCCCCAAATGTTGCACATCTTACTCGTTGTGGTTGTATGTACCCATCTCCTCCTCACCCCTCCCACCCTCCTGACACCCGATAAATGTTACTCCTATATGTCCACTTAGGTGTTGATCCGTTAATACCAATTTGCTGGCTCATCTTCTTTTAATTGCAGACATGCGAATAAGATCCAGGACCCAGAGGGAGGTTTCTGGCCTGACAATTAAACAGAACACTCAGCTCCCAGCAGACTGGTTTGTTCCAAAAAAAAAAAAAATTATATATATATATATATATATATATATATATATATATATATCCTTTTGTCCAAACCCCATTCCCTTGGAATCTAAATCCCCAAGATGCTCTTTCAGAAGATGTAGATAGCTTGCCTACTTGCAAAGCAAATCTGGACACAGCACGGACTTTGCCATTTGTAACATTCTAGTAATTTTTGCATTTGTCTAACTGAAAATCTCTGAATTTTTTTATGCATTGGTTCAAAAGAAAAAATGTACTCCCTAGTATGTAGTGATATGACTCAATTACTTTCCTTGTACACGCAAAGCATTAGTCAACATATTAAAAAGAAACTTTCATATATGTTACAAAATTAAAATGAGAATTATCCTCAGGTAACTACATGTTTATTGTTTTCAGTTTTAAGCAGTCTTATCATTTTTTCTGTGACTCTCACTGAACACAATACCAGCTCCTGTATTACTTAAAAACACCCAGGGATAAATTTCCTAAGAGTGATTAAATGATCACAATTTTCAGAGCAGATAGAGGATCAATAAAATATTTTACTTATATCAGTAGTTTCAGGTTTATATGCAGCTTTTACTAAATATAATCTCACTACTGTTTTTATTAGCTTTCCTTTATACCTTTACTATCCTCTATAAATAAAAATTATTTCTATGGAAAACATGTAGTCAAATAAAAAACAATCAAGAACAGCTAGGCTGCCAAAATTTCATTAATGTGATTTTAAGAAAAAAAACTATTAAATAGAAAACACACACACATCCCCCCTGGGAAATATCAATTGATTAATTTTATTTTTTCCTTCTTTAATCAAATATTTTACCTTGGAATGCTGCTGGTGGATACTGAGGAGGATACCCAGGTGGCAGCACATCTGTTTCTGGATGAGGAGCATTCATTTGCATGTCTGCAATTCAAGGAGAGGTAAATATATGTCTGCTTAAGTAAAATATACATTAGAAAGAAAAATGCAATGTCTTTAGATAATTTTCACTTGTGTGGTCTTATGCTGTACTGAAATAGGTAAATTCTTCACTTAACATAAGCTGTGCCTGTCATTAGAGCTCATTTGCAGTGGAATCCTGTTTCAAATAAATTCTCTTTTAGATACAATTAGATAGCTGAGTTACTGGAGCTGAATTCACAGTTTTCAAATATGCTAGATGAGCATTCAGTTCCATGTTTTGATTTTGTTGGTATTAGAAAAAAATGTAGTTTAAAAATCACATATAGACTATGGAGAAAGAGATAAATGAAACTAGTTGGATTTGAGTAGTGGTAGGATTAAGGGTAATTTATCTCTAAACATTAATTATCTTTTTAATGCTTAACTATATGAAATTTACAAAACATGATAGATTTTGACCTACAAAAGCCATAACATTTAATTATAATAAACTAACATATTAAAGTTTGTTACCTGCTAGTTAATAAGGCTTGTGTAATCTTGATATCTGAGCTAGTGATTCAAACTCCTAGTTCTTATTCATTAGTCATTTTTATTCACCCCAGTCGGTTTCTGAATATTTACTGAGCCTCTCCTGTGTCACCCTTGAGTTAAGCTCTGGTGCTAGAGTGGCTTTGCATACAACTGATAGTCTAGTAGCCACTATACTTACTTCCTCCTCTGTTTCCTTATGGACTACTAATTGTAAATTCAAAAGCTCTTATTTTTGAACCATGGAGGCATGGCATCAATATAGAAGAATATACTGGCTAAACTTTCAATCTGACACATTTTCTGAATGTGTCTCTATTATGAACTTTCAGAGAACACTCAACTCATTAATCATGTGGTTTTATCAGGAAGGCTGGACTGTGACCCACCCCGGCTTCTCTTCCATTCAACTGGCTTCGTAATAACAGCAGAATGCAGTCCATGGAGACTGTAAAGTCAAGCAATGAAGATCATCCTATTCAAATGAAGACTCTTCCCTGGACATACACTGCAGGGACTTTTCCCAGGAAAGACACTTTTGGTACCAGAGCAATATCCTGGTTTTAGGTATATAGGAGGAATTCATACAAAGAAAATAAGTGAATGGGCAGGAGTTCAAGTAGAGCAAAGAGTATATGAATTACAGGTTGATTTCTGTATTTGTGAATGCAACTTAAAATATTTAATAGCTTATAAAAATCATAGGACTATCACTTTGTGTTAAAGATATTTTATTTTTACATCTATATGTGTATATATATACACATTATATACACATTTATTCTTATACATACACACATTTTATCTATTTTTGCATGTATATACATACACACATACAATTATATATACAAAACTGAAGAGTTAAAAGGTAACTATGACCATGGCCAAATGAATATTTTTAAATTGAGTGGAAGCATCTTACAGCTTGTAGCAAATAGCTTAATTCTATGTAAATTTACATTTCAAAAGCTTTGAGTTTTACAAATAAAAAGATCATAAAACTTCACATGGGAAAATTAAGGGGTCTAGCTTTAAAGATTATCCAATATGCCTAGGTGGCTGACATTATAGTGAAAGGTAAATATTTCTTGACTATGTCAAAAAAGATAAGGAGAATAAAAACCATTTCAGAAAATCAGGATTTTGGTGTTACATTTTTGCTATGTTGTATTTTTCTGTTCCAAACCTTAAAATTTAAGACAAATTCTTTCATTACATGCTTGATAAATACCCATGTTATTTACAATTCTCTTGAAAGAAAAAAAGCCAGAACATAGTGATTGATATTAATTTGAACCTATGTAATGAAATATACATCCAGGTTTGTAGCTGAGAATTTTATTACAATGAACTGATATCTTAAATTTATTATCTGTCAATTAGTATGATATGAATAATCTTTATGTATATAAAATGCACAGAAAAAAGAGAAAATTGTTCTGGATGGAATATAGCATACATTATACAATATATCTCCCAATACACCTAAAATTTCTTAGTTTTCCCCAAACTGTTCTTATTTTATGAAAAAATTACTAATAGTGGATATATGTGTACATCTCTCCATATTCAAGATACTGAATTACATATTGGATTCTGGAGTATAAACAACACAAAGCAAATTATAATAAACTGAATAAAACATTATGACAAGTAACAAGTTACCAACAGAGTAATATTATAGGCAGAAATGTAGACTAAAGGAGATTATTTACCTTTTGTATCCATGATTTAAATAGTTCTGAAAAAGAAGATCTGACATTAGCATATTGTCTACAAATTTACAGGTCAAATATGACTGCTGAAACAGGATACTCTAAAACTACACAGGCACACTCATAGATATTCCTCTTCATTCATCTAGTTAAGCCTTATCCAGTCATTTAAACCTTTTGGGCTTTACCCCATTCCCTTTACTGTGCTTCTGAGTAGGAATTTAGAAGATGTTGGTCAGCCCATGATGGTGAACACTTTCTAAAAGTCTTTGGGAAGAAGGTTCAATGCAGCAGAAAGCCAGAAAGGAAACTTGTGAACTTAAGACCCCAAATGGGCTCGGCGCAGTGGCTCATGCCTATAATCTTAGCACTCTGGGAGGCGGAGGTGAGAGGATTGCTCTAGGTCAGGAGTTCAAGACCATCCGGAGAAAGAGTGAGACCTCATCTCTACTAAAAATACAAAAAATTAGCTGGGCATGGTGGTTCCTGCCTGTAGTCCCAGCTACTCAGGAGGCTGAGGAAGGGGAATCGCTTGAGCCCAGGAGTTTGAGGTTGCTGTGAGCTAGGTTCATGTACCACATTCTAGCTCAGGCAACACAGTAAGACTCTGTCTCAAAAAACAAACAAACAAACAAAAACCTCAAATGGTAACCAAGCTAAAGAAAAAAAAATACAACCTACACAACCTAAAGGAAACATGTAGTCCAGTGCCCAGCCTCTTAGTCAAGCTCCAAGAATGGTCCAGCAGGAGAGCAGGAAAGGTTAATTTCAGGACACACTATTGCAATTATCTCTGCAAATTCCAAGTTCTATGGACCTGTTATGCTCAACTCAAATAGCAAATTTGAGAAGGCTTGACACTCTGTTCTTTGCATCAAGAGATACTTTTTACCACTCTCCAGAGTGGACTAACTGTAGCACCTTGACAATCCAAGTGAAACTTTGTACTTGGTTATTTCTACAGAATAAATAACAATAAACAATCTACTCAATACACTGACTTCCAGTGCTTTGATCCCATTCTAATGGTTCCCACTATTATCCAGTCACTACCTTCTCTGTCAACTGTGGATCCCAACTCCCTTCATATTATTAATTACAATTGTTAATTGCAAAAACACTCTTCCTCAAATTAGCCCTTCCCCTTCCCAAGCACACTCCAATGATGGCTGCACCCATTCCTCCTACTGAACAATCCTAAATGTTACCCAAGTCACCTGATCCCTCTACACTCTCAACTAAAATCTAGTGTTCCCAAGAAGAAAACACTTTCTTCCTCTGTGTTTCAAAATCATTTTTTATCACTGCCAACTTGAAGTGTAAAATTTCAAAATCTGGTAAAACTCTTAAGACTGTTCCAATTATAGTCACCTCTGAATTGTATTTACTCAGGAAGTTCAGCAATGGTTGAACAATTCAAAAGGGTTTCTTTGACCCTAGAATAAATCCAAAAATGTGCCTGTGTTACTGATTTAACTTCCTGAATATTCTTTGAACAATGGGATTCCTGGTTTGCATAAACTGGTCAGAAATCAACTGCTGTGTTCAAGTCAGAAGGGCAGAAATATTAAAACTTATATTTTTCTGCAATTAATCTATAAGGTAAATAATAAGTTAATAAACATGTATAACCAAAGTAGACTAAAAGTTTTCAAATTTTCAGTTTGTATTTTAGGTTCCATCATCTAAACAACTATAAAAGGAGACCAAATTTAAACATACAAAAGGCCCGGTTATTTTTGTCAAGCTCATCTTTCCATCATCAAAGGATAGACATTAAAATGAATAGCCATTTTCTTAAAACATGTTAAGAGTACGTTAACAGATATATTAAAAAGACTTATAAATTCTGGAGTAGAAATAGGTAGTATCCCTTAATTAACATGCTGGTCTATATATCTCTAAAGTTTTTATCTAATACATGTTTCCCACAGGACACCACTCTTTAACATGCTTAGTTTTAAAAAAATTGTATGGCCTTTAACTATAATAATTTTAATGGCAATTTCCAGTGACTATTGTTTCAGTCATTTTTACGTTGCCTACAATGTCAGAAAGGCACTAAGTAACATCTAATGAAACATCCTAAATGATATATCTAAGAGGAGAAATACAGGCAAATGTTTGTTTCTTATTTTTTACAAACATACTATTGAAATGGGAAACAATTTCATAAATTCTAGATAGCAAATCTATACATTTTAGATGAACAATAATTTTTTATAATTTTAAAAATATTTCTTCTTAGCATTTAGCTGTTTTAGGCTGATAAGTCCAGTGCAAGCCAGAAATAAAAGAATCTTCTTGCTAGAAAGATACGGAATTCATAAACTAACGCTATGCATAATTTTAAGAACAGGTGGAGGATTTTAAGCATGGAGTGTCATAAGTTTCTAAGTCCTTGCCAAATGAGTACTAATTGTGAATACACACAGTATTTACTTTTCATGGGCTCAGAGCTCATTCTTTCCTTGCACAGAATTCCCAGTAAGGAGAACTAAGCAGATTATATAATGGTGCTCACTTGTTCATATTTGTTCTTAGTTATATTATTTTAAGTCATAAATATAAGTTAGTGAGTATGATTACTTATGACAAAACTACTACAGAATAAAATCTGGGTCCTCACTTTACTATAGGTTTTAGAATTTAAACAATTACATAATATCTCAAGCATTGAAAATGATATATCATATGCTCTATGCAAAATGTTAAGTGATCCTTGTACCTGTACCTGTGCCAAGTAGATTAAAGCACTATCTACCAGATGAATAAAGTCATCCACCATGTGGATGCCTACTGTGTTTGCTGTTCTAATGATCCTTTGGTTCTCTCAAACTTAATGAATATATTCTAAGACATACGTCACTCAGTTTGGGGAATAAGTGAGTATGTTCTTGTTGAATTAATTAGTTAATTAATTTAACATGATAACTCTTTAATAATGGCTTCTACCATTCTTAGTTTTTAAAAAGTTCACAAATACTTCAGGGAAAAAGAAAATTATATTTATGCTGTCCCAAAAGAAAAAAAAAGTCTGTAATAATGTCATATTATACATCATACCCTTGCAATCATAATTACTCCAAGATAACATAATTACAAAATATAATATAATTACTACATACTTACAACAGAATTTCAAAATATGATTATTACATACTTTTCCTAACTCTGTTAAAGGAGAGCTTTAGAGCAAATTGAGGCATCATACATTACAGTCGATCTTAGCCAAAAGGCCGAGAAGCAATAGAGGCATCCTATATGTACATTGTGTACATATAAGTACATCTCTGTTAAAATCATTTGATCAGAAATCATAAGTCCCCATTGATGCTCTGAACTATTTGATAATTGTAAACCTCTACCACAGGGAGAGGGAGAAACAGCACAGGAGATTTCCAATTACAGCTTCACAATTCATGTTGTGGTAAAATCCTTTTGACTTATCTCTTGGAGTCCTGAAATTTCTCGTATTGCTTTCAAACAGCATTAATGCAAAATATGGAACCCGAAGGGAAACATCCTCAATTTTAGGAGATCCTGAAGCTAATGTGCCTATAAACTAGACATAACTAGATATGGGTTATTTATCTGAATTTACTTATTAATTGCCTAAGAACAAATCTCCTCCCAAAACACATGATAAACTAGTTCACATTCTTCTTAAGCCCCAAGATGAGATACATATTCTGAATTATTTTAGCAAAACTCTACCTCTTTAAAATCAATCACAAGAATTCTAGGTCCCTAATTTCCTACCAATAAGTGATAATGGGATACTAGGCTTGGGGGAAAGGAGGCATTGGGAGTAGTAGTCCAGTAGCAGAACTTAACATTGCAGAGGAAAGTCACAAGTCAAATAATTTTCATATTGCTCAGGTTATGTTTGTAAGTAAATTTTGTGCATTGAAAAAGGTTTAGTTAACATCTAAGAAGGAAAACAACTCATCAGTTGAACTCCAGTTTTGGTAAAAGTTAAGCAGAGCAAGAGAAGATGCATTTAAACAATAAGTGGAGTGAGGAGTTGGTGAGCATTTGAGTACACCAGCACATCATACAGGATGGTACAGTTTGGAAGGGGTAACTGAGGCCGATTGTAAATACAAAGGACTTTTTAGCAAAAAGGTCCACTTCTGTATTTTATATTTAAGACACAATTTGGCATAACCTTTTATATTTAATAGTATTTTATAATAAACCTTGAATAAAAATGCAGATAATACATCAACTGGAGCCAACTGAGGTGGTAATGGTTGAGTGTTCTATAAGACTAATAAGTAAACCAAAGAGATAAAGGAAGTAAAAACCAATATTTATGTTTTATTATTCTCATTTGATTGCTTTATTCTCCTTAAAATCCTTTCCTGAAAACACAGAGCTCCCTCACAAATTTGTGTTGTTTCTTTTCATCTTTACATATAATGAAGCTGAACTCATAAAAATGTTATTTAGTGTCACACAGCTTACTAACTAGCTGAACTGAGATAACTGATGATTCATATTCTTCGCACTCATTCACTGAAAAAAATAAAGACTGCTAACTTTCAGTGATATTTGTTAAATGACTATCAAGTATCTTTCTTATGTAAGACAGAAAAGTCTTGAATCTTAATTTACTATTGTGGCCCCTTAGTTTTTATTAGATCAGGTGCTATGGTTTGAATGAGTTCCCCAAAGTTCATGTGTTGGGAGACAGAGCCTAATAAGAGACGATTAGATCATGAGAACTCTGCCCTCATGAATAGTATAATGTCTTTATCTTGGAAGTGAGTTAGCACCAGAATACAGAGTGGGTTTGGTGAGGAAAGCAAGTTCTATCCCCTATCATTCTCTTGCCCTTCTGCTTTCTGACATGGATGGGGAAGCAGGGAAGTCCTCTCTAGATGCCAGCGCCTTGAGACAGCCATGTATCTCATAATGATGTTTCATTGGAAAAAAGATTGCATATATGACAGTGGTCCCCAAAGATTATAATACCATATTTTTACTGTATCCTTTCTATGTTTATATATATTTAGATGTACAAATATTTAACCATTGTGTTGTAACTGACTACAGTATTCAGTACAGTAACATGTTGTACAGGTTTGTAGCCCAGGAGCAATAGGCTGTACCATCTAGTTTTGTGTAAGTACACTGTAAGATGCTCACACAATGATGAAATTGCCTAATAATGCATTTCTCAGAAATGTATCCCTGCCATTAAGTGATACATCACTATGTTGGACTTCTTGCCTCCAGAACTATAAGGAATAAATGTCTTCCTTATATATTACCCATTTTAAGGTATTCTGTTATAGCTGCATGCAACAGGGTAAGATACCAGGTAAGTTTTTACTAAGCACTTATTAAAACAAAATTTGGAGACAGAAAAACAACTGTTAGCACTGATTAAGTAAAGTGTTTGGCTTTTAAATTTAACACTCATAAGTGTGCAGATATATATATGCACATACATATGTATACATATAAACACACTTCTTATGTAAGTACTCATTTAGTTTAAAGCTTGTGTGGTTTTCAAGGAACATTGATTGAAGGCGTAGAGCATGCAAGGCTCTATACCGGGCACCACAGCACTATACCTAGGTGCTAGGGGAGACAGACAATTAAATATATTATTGAAAATGCTCTAGGCACTATGCATAAAAATAATTATGGTATAAGAAAGGGTTATGGGGTGGACACTAACTTAGATGGTGGTTGGGCAGAGGCCTGTCAGGAAAGTCAGATTAAGAGGTGAAGGAAATCAAAATTCACTAATCTGTGAAGGTGTGGTTAAGTGGGGGTGCTGTGAAGTGGGGTATAACAGACAGAGAGAACTTCACAGATAGAAGTCCCGAAGCTGGAGGGAACTTGGCTCATTCAAGGAAATGAGATATCTGTGAGGGTACGGAAAAGAACAGGGAGAGATCCTTAGAGATGAGGATGGAGAGGTGTTCAGAGGCCAGTTCACGCATATTTAGTTTCTCTCTACCTGTACTCTAAGCTCCTTTACAGATCAGAATGCTGTATGATCTGCAACCCAGCTATTTTATTTTTTTATTTTTTTCAGTTTTATTACCATTTTATTTTATTTTATGTTTTATTTCAGCATACTATGGGGGTACAAATATTTAGGTTACATATATTGCCTTTGCCTCACCCAAGTCAGAGCTTCAAGTGTGTCCATCCCCAGACGGTATGCACTGCACCCATTAGGTGTGAATATACCCATCCCTTCCTCCTTCCTCCCATCTGCCTGACACCTGCTGAATGTTACTGCTATGTGCACACAAGTGGTGTTGATCAATTAATACCAATTTGATGGTGAGTACATGTGGTACTTGTTTATCCATTCTTGTTGATACTTCACTTATTGGAATGGGCTCCAGCTCTATTTAGGATAATATAAGAGGTGCTAGATCAGCATTGTTTTTTATGGCTAAGTAGAAATCCATGGTATACATATACCACACTTTATTAATCCACTCATGTATTGATGGGCACTTGGGTTGTTGCCATATCTTTGCAATTGTGAATTGTCCTGCTATAAACATTATAGTGCAGGTGTCTTTTTCATAGAATGTCTTTTTTTTTCCTTTGGGTAGATGCCCAGTAACGGGATTGCTGGATCAAATAGTAGTTCTACTTGTAGTTCTTTGAGGTATCTCCATATTACTTTCCACAGAGTTTGTACTAGTTTGTAGTCCCACCATCAGTGTGTAAGTGTTCCTATTACTCCACATCCACGCCAATATGTAGTCTATTGGTACTTTTTGATAAAGGTCATTCTCACTGGAGTTAAGTGACATGTCATTGCTGTTTTGAGTTGCATTTCCCTAATAATTAGAGATGTTGAGCATTTTTTCATATGTTTGTTAGCTATTAGTCTTGTCTTCTTTTGAAAAGTTTCTGTTCATGTCCTTTGCCCACTTTTTGATAGGGTTGTTTGATTTTTCTCTTGCTGATTCTCCTGAGTTCTGTATAGATAGATTCTAGTTATCAGCCCTTTATAGGATGTGTAGCATGTGAATATTTTCTCCCATTCTCTAGGTTGTCTGTTTGCTCTCGTGAGTTTCCAAGGAATCCTTATTCAATAAATGGTGCTGGGAAAATTGGATAGCAGCCCAGCTATTTTAAATGCCACTTTTCTATCCAACTGCAGAAATCCACACATTTTATTTTTCATTTCCTTGCATTTGCTCATCGTTCAAAGCCCTTCTATTGTTCTATTAAGACAAGTGTCTACTGTAGGAAAGTTTAAGAAAGAAAAAGGAACCCCAAACTTCCTGACAATTTTCATTAAGCAAGTGTGTCTTGTGCTATCCATGTATCTCAACTTGCTAAACCGGAAAAAGCAATGACCGGCCTCTTGCTGGAACTGAGAAGGAGCCGTGCCAAGACTTTCAGGAATAACAATACATGAATAAAACCAAATGGGCGGCAGATAATGAGCTTGGAGAAGGAGGGACTTTGTCAAATATTTAAAATATTAAAAGCTAACTTTCACAGAGTATTTCCTGCAGTGCCAGGCACCGCTCCAGTAACATTACATCAATGCATGTAGTACTCTGTAACTTTTGTAATTCTCTTTTTTTTTTTTTTGAGACAGAGTCTCACTTTGTTGCCCCAGCTAGAGTGAGTGCCATGGCGTCAGCCTAGCTCACAGCAACCTCAAACTCCTGGGCTCAAGCAATCCTACTGCCTCAGCCTCCCGAGTAGCTGGGACTACAGGCATGCTCCACCATGCCCGGCTAATTTTTTCTATATATATTAGTTGGCCAATTAATTTGTTTCTATTTATAGTAGAGACGGGTCTCGCTCTTGCTCAGGGTGGTTTGGAACTCCTGACCTTGAGCAATCCGCCCGCCTGGGCCTCCCATAGTGCTAGGATTACAGGCGTGAGCCACCACGCCCGGCCTGTAATTCTCTTAATAGTTACCCAATTTCAGAGATGAGGCAAAGAAAGGAACATATATGAAGAAACTGGCTCGGAATCTACAGACGTGAAATGTAGTAGAAGCAGGGTTCAAACTCAGGCAGCCTGGCTCTTGGAGCTACTGGTCTCAGCCATTATGCTTTGTTTAGCCTCCACCTTTCAGATTGATTTGATACTGTAGAGCAGGGGTCCTCAAACTTTTTAAACAGGGGGCCAGTTCACTGTCCCTCAGACCTTGGAGAGTGTGCACTGTGGGCCCAGGACCAGTCCGCTGCTAAGCAGGACAGGCATCCATGGGTGGCAAAAACACCCGGAGGACCAGATAAATATGCTAGGCAGCCTGCACCTGACCCACGGCCCGCCGTGGTAGTTTGAGGACGCCTATTGTAGAGAGTCTACCATAGTTTGGGGCTCCAGTCATACTTCCAGTTAAGACTTATTGTTAAATGACAGCAGGCTCTGTTAATCGTTCCTTTTAATACCCCCACTATGCCGGCAGGTACTCTGGAGCTCAGCTTCTGACCCTGATTCAGGCTGCCTCTGCCTGTGCAGCAACGCAGCTAAGGGGAAGCAGAGCCCTGCGGGGCGTTTTCAGGCGGGGCACAAGTCTTGGGAATGGTCTGGGGCAGACTGCGGGTACCGCTGGGCCAGCTGGAGCTCCACTTCCCCGCTCCATTTCCAGGGTCCCTCTCCGGGGCCTCTGGGAGCCCTGCTCCCAACTTTCACTCCCCCCACCCCATTCTCCTCTCACAGAGCAAACACAAAAGCCGCGGGCTCCTTCCGCATAAACCTCCCCCACCACCTGCGCCTGGCCCTGGGACTTGCGCAGATTCCGCGTAGGCACCCTCGCCCCGGGGAGAGGAAAGAGAAAGTTGCTCCCCTACCTGTGGCTGCAGTTGTTCCTGCGCAGCCCGGAGACAGCCAAGGTCCAAGTGACTCTTTTTTCCACTTTGCCCTTTAACCGCCCGGCACAGATGTCGCACAACCTCCTCTGCAGTCAGCGGGGGGAAAGGAGTAACCTGGGAGTAATCTTGATGCTGACACGGCTCGGGTTTCGTTTCCTGGATCTGACGTGTAGCGCAGTTTTGCTTCCCTGGTCTCTATGCTGGTCCCCACGCTGGTCCCGGAGGTCTGCGTCGCTCCTGAGGGCGGCCACCCTGAAGGGAGGGATGGGTGCTGCTCCTGCCCACCCCATCCACCCCACCGCCGGCCTTCTCGCTCCTTGGAGAGATTCCCAAAGTGTTTGAAGAGAGACGATTGGGGTGGCTACATCCGCTGGAACTGTAAAGTCAACAACTGGGGAGTGGCCTCCGCCAGGGAATTTCCATTACTCTGACCTTGACCTGAATCGTTCAGACTCATGGGGCTTTTCAAAGCAGGGGGCAGGAGGGCTGCTTAGAGTACTAATGAGCAGGGGTCAAGATTGTTTTTCTTTTTTTTTTTTTTTTTCCTGTCCTGCTGTCTTGCTCATTCTTGCCTTCCAAAGAATTTATGTTTTACTGTTTTTTTTTAAATTTATTTTAATCACTACCTTAATATTTTAAGAGCTCACTTCATTTTTATAAATATTGTGCCTAGATACTTTTTTAAAAAATAAATTTTACTGTGTACACTTAAGGTATACACACGATTTTATAAGATACACATATGCAGTTAAATGGCTACTCTTGTGGAACAAATTAGTATATCCATCATCTCATGTGGTTGCCCATTCCCCCCCCAGCTATAATCTATTCATTTAACAAAAATTCTGAACTATCATTAACTATAGCCCTTATGTTGTAAATTAGATCTTTTGACTTGTTCATCCTACACATTTGCTACTTTGTATCCTATGAACTAAAATAAAATTTTAAGGCTCACCCCTGGCCCCCACCAGCTGACTGAATGGACCCCCTCTGGCCAAAGGAATACCCCAAAACTAAATTGCTTGCCAGGAAGAAGGAGGACAGACATGCCTTATCATGCCCCCCTCCCTTCTTGGGGACATCCTTTGTAACCCATTAACTGGCCATAAGGGTGTGCAAGACAAACCTACAGGTCCTCAATTTACACAACAAATATATGTCTGGTGGCTTGTCTCTGACAAAGAGCTCCTATGTTAAAACATCCCAAGCCTTTAGACAAAGCTTCATATCTTTAACCAATTACAAGCCAAAGAATCTGTTTTTTTTTTTAATTTTGGCATATTATGGGGGTACAAATTTTAAGGTTTCAATAAACGCCCTTTCCCTCCCTCCCCCCACAAGTCTGAGTTTCCAGCATGACCATCCTCCTAAACCACCTATAACCCATAAGCCCTCCCTCTTCCAGATGGCCCACCTTTTTGGGCCAAACCAATGTATGCCTCCCATGTGTTGATTTATGGCTTTCCCTGTAATCCCTGCCTCCCTGAAATGTATAAAACCAAACTGCAACCCAACCACAGCGAGTCCACTTGCTCAAGGTTTCTTGGGTATGGCTCCTCTCTTTCACGAGGCAGTGATATGTGGAATTGCAACAGCCATATTCAGACCAGGAGAGAATATGTATTAAAGATGGTGGAACTGAAATGAGGAAACAGCCCAAAAATACGATGCATTGATGACCTGCTACATTGATCCTATATTTCTGTATTAATAGCTCCAGATAGCTTGAGACATGAAGGCTGGCTTGTGGTTGTAAAATCTAATGATATTTATCTTTGTTCTTCACCTAATTTCATACTCAAGGCAAAAAAGTTTATCATTTTCTACATGGTAGGATTTATTTCTTTTAAATTTAATACTATGGTTATAGTTCTTTGTCATTCTGGTTTTTTGTTTAAGCTATTAAAGTTCATTTGCAATCAAAAGCATTGTACCACTGAGGATATTAAGAATATTTCTCCTAAAGTCCTCTTTACTGTTCTTTTCTCATTTTTTGTTTGTTTGTTGTTTGTTTTGCTTAGGCTAACTGCAATAACCAATAGCTCCAAGACTCTCACATCCTATGGGGAGTTGGTATAACAAGGCTTCATGGGAAACAGCAGCAGAAGGATGATTTCACTGTGCATCACTGGTCCTGACAACCAGTGCCTGAGTGTCACCTAAATTAGGGCAAAGTTTTCTATTTTGAGAAACTAGCCTTAGCAAAGAATTTTAATTTTAACACATTCTTTATTATTCAACTTCAGGCCATATTATTTTGCTGAGTTCATAAACAACCTCAAGACTTTAATAACATAACAAAATGAAAAATAATTTAAATTATGGAAACAACTAAATGGAAGTGTTCCTCTTTGGTGGTGGGAGACTCTGCCTCACAGCATCATTAAGGAACTCATACTAATGGAAGCTCTGGAATCTTTAATATATGGCTTCCTGGGTTATTCTGGGCTTTGACATTGAGTCTGTAGTCAGAGTAAGGCAGAACAGGGTGAGGACTGAACTCTGATCTTTTTCTTTTGCTAAAAACTCTTTCCTAAGGAGGCCAGCTGGGTCAGGCTGACAAATGGTAAATTCCTACTAAGCGGTTTTGTTAACCAAATAAGCGGTGGTTTACTTCCCCAACCTGATTCTGGTATGGCATTAACATCACCTAAAAGATAGAAAGCCCTGTCTTAACTCAAGCATCCTAGCAGATGCCTATCATAAATTTAAATATCTTAACTCAAGTATCCTAGCAGGCGCCTATTGTAAATTTAAAATGTCCCCTGTCTGGACTCCCAGAGTGCTCATACCCTTATCTTAAAGTAAGCATATCTTCTGGTCTTCTAGATAAAGTCTAACTTTCTCAGCCAATTGCCAGCCAAAGATCTTTAAACCACCTATAACCTGTAAGCCCCCGCTTCGAGATGTCCCACCTTTTTGGCCAACCAATGTATGCCTCTCATGTAATTGTGACTTTCCTGTAACTGCTTCTGTCTCTGAAAATGTATAAAACTAACTGTAACCAGCCACAGAGTCCACTTGCCCAAGGCCTCTTGGCAGTGGCTCCGGTCATGGTCCTAAATTTGGTCAGAATAAATTCTCTAAAATTATTTTACAGTGTTGGTTCTGTGTTGTGTTTGTCATGGATTCAGAAAACTCAGACTCGTAAGGAGCAGCACTGTTGTTTTGTGGTTATGTTGCCCTCCGTACTCCGTGTTGTTTCTGTGGTTTTGGAAGTCCTCTGGTTCGGAGTCCGCTTTTGTTGTTGTATGGTCTGGTTATTCTGAGCTGTTCTTTCCTAGAATTTGTTGTTTGTGTTTGAGTGCTACTTATGTGTTCTGTTTTCCTCTCATAAACTATTTCAATTGGCTTGTCTGCGCATGGCAAGGAATCCACTGTTTTTTTTCCCCCTTTTAATTCTTTGGTAATAGCATGAGGGAGACTGAGTTCTCAGCTCCGAGAAAAGGGGCAGCTTACTTCCCAGCCTAAAGCAGCCTACGTACACCAGCCCTGACATGGGATTGCCTGTGGGCGTGATTCCCCAAAGGCGAGTAGCCCCCACAGGGAACCAGCAAATTAATTAAAGAAGGCTAGTCAGGAAACTGCAGCATAAGGCTGATCACCAGCGTTTTGAGCCCTCTCGGGTGATAGACCCCCAAAGAGAGAAACTGAGAAGTAACGAGTGGACTGGTGAACTCGAAGTGGTGACAACATTTGAGGAGCCCCACCAGCAAGCGACACGGTGATGCCACGGACGCACCAAAACCCGGTAGACCAGCAGTTCGGTCTGAAAAAAAAAAAGAAGAGAGAGAGAAACAACTCTTTAAAACCCAGGAAGGGCAAGGAAAATGACTCCTTACGGGGCCCCCATTGGTTTGTGGAGACTTACTTGCAAGTGTTTTGTAAAGGAAAAACTTCAAAGGATGCAGGTTTTCTAGGGCTCCAGCTGGTTATAGCGAATTTATTGTGCACAAGGTTTAACGAAAGGGCAAAATTATATCCAAAGAAAAAGTTAAGAGTGAATATGTCGACCCCCCCCCACTATAAAATGTCTCAAAGCTTCTCTCTCTTACTTTCTGGCTACTCTAAAACTGCTATTTTCTTTGATGTTAAGCATAACAGTTGTTTGTGGTATTAACCAATTGAAAGGCTACCTGGAGGACCCTGAGCCAGTTCTAGCTAAATGCTAACGAGAAAACCCATTTTAACGCTAAAAAACAAAAAAAAAAAATCAAACTGCCATGGAAACTGCTCTTTACCCAAAACTTTGATCCACAGGCTAATTAAGTTACTTTCAGTAACTAAAGTGTGCCGTTAAACAATTCCAGTCTCATCAACAATTTAGATCAGCTTTCTTTTACAGACTGGTGATTGTGTTACCATGTCACTGGTAAAGTTATAGGGTAAAATTTTGAAACTGTGTGTATGTGTGTGACGAGAGTTGATTGTTTGGGTATGTTTATGTCCTTATATTTTTGTATGGTCAGAATGGTTTAAAAATTAAGGGAGGTTCATAAATTAAACCCAAATGCTCATGTGAATTAATTAGTAATCTTTGCTATAATAAGCGTGTTATTATTAAATAAATAATAATAGGTGTATTAGTAAAGTAATAGTAATGCTTCAAATTGTCAGCATACATTTGTTTGCCTGGTTTTACTGGAATTTTTAAGTCTTAAGCGTGTACAAGGTTTGATAAAAATGTAAATTCAGCAAAGACAAGAATGTGTACTTTTGATAATAATTTAATATTTGGTCAAAGATACTGAACGCTGGGTTACCAACAAAAATACTTATGTGTTTAACTTGTAAGGTAAAAATGCAAACTGTGCCTAAGTGTCAGCCAACATTGAATAAATAAAACACCAAGTAGAGCAAAAACCAAAATTTAATCGTCAAAGCTTTAAAAAAAAATTTTTTTGTGGTCTTTTAATCTAACTGCATGATAATAGTTTACTTCCACGATTCAATGCCTGCTAGAGAGAAGCACAAGGTGTGTTCAACTCATTTAACGTACTGTTAGGATTCAGTTGCTGAAAGTTGTAAAGAACTTAAATGAAGCTTAGTTTTACTGGTCTTGTCCATTTTTGTTTATCTTTACCAATTAGCTGGTTATGATTACATTGTGTAACTGTAATAGAGTTTTGCTAGGAAAAAAGTTTCTATTATTAATTGTTATATAAGCAATTTTAAATAAGTGAGGATGATGTAAATCCATTTGAGATCTTCAACGTACTTACTCTATAAATGTGCTCAAGTTTGCACTAAAAGTTGCTTGAGACCATTTAGATAGTTTTTTTTTAAACAGCTGTATCTTGAGCCTCATGTAAAGCATGTTACCTTGTTCATTGTTTGAGGTGTAACAATTTGGTGCTGAAAGTTTTTTTCCTCATCTACAGC